AGGCTAAGAGTTCTATGGAAGGAACTTGAAGGTGGGGTGGGGTTTTAGGATGGCAGGCCTGTTCTAAGGAGGGCTTGAGGGAGGCCCACACCCAAGGCTGGAGAAAATGGCCCTCCACCCTTCCCTTCTCCAGGGCTTTCATTATCCAGGGGCAGGGAAGACCATGCACAGGCAAGGCCTTCCCCACTCCCTGAGTCCACTCTGGAGTCCCAGTGGCTGTAGTAGTAGCACAGCAATGTGACACACTGGGGAAAGTGTGCACCTGCACTCAGGCCGAGCTAAAGAGGTGCCAACAGTCCCTTCTGGGTGGGGATGGGGGGGGTGACCCAGATCCCCAGGGAGCCCTGCCCCCAGTGTTTTAGAGCTGTGTATAAGAGGTTTGGCTGGTCCTTAACCACCTGCTGGGGAAGCCACGCTGAGCAGAAAAAAAAAACACAAAAAAACGGCAACAGGAAGGAGCACAGGAAACACCTGTGTGTGGATGCAGGTGGCTCATTCCTGATGGGTGGGGTTGCGGGCAGGCAGACAGCCCTCAGCACATTGGCACAGCTCTGTGTTCCCTCTGTAACTGTGAAGGGTGTCATGGGACGGATGATGTGCAGTTCAGCTTTTTGGGTGGTAGGCTGGGGTGGCAGAGAGTGAAGGCAAACAAAGGATAGAGACCAAGCCAGCACCCAAAGCTGGCCACAGCTTGGGCTTGCCCCAAGGTCCCCTGCAGGAGGGTTGCAGTCTAAGAACCAACCCTAGGAACCCCTGGAGCTCCACAAGAGTCCCATTGGTAGGGCAGGACTGTCCACTTGCATCCAAAGTGTCGCCTGTGTGGTGGAGAAAAAGGAAGTAAACACTGCCTGACTAGGTCCTGGGAAAGTGCAGATGGGTGGCTGGGCCAGCACGAGTTCACACAGCTCAATCCATAGGAGAGGACAGCCTAGGCAAGAAATGTAGGGTGGGAAAATTATCCCACTGAGAGTCAGGTCATCTGAGACTGTCACTGAAAATCTGAGTGGCCCTACATCATTACTTGCCAATGCTGGAAATGGATAGGGCCCCTAACCTTCTGTCCCCTCCCCTACATGGAGAGTTCTAAGGCCACAGCCTAGCACTCAGCCCTAGCCAAGGGTGGGTACTGTGAGCCCCATCAAGCCTACCTAGCTTAAAGCAGTGCGGATCAACCACTCAACAGCCACTTAAACCCTCTCCATCAGTAACTTGAAGTCAGACTGGATAGCCTCCTACATCCGGACCCATGCCAGGGGTGTGAGATGGTAGAGGGCAGGGAGAGCCTTTGTCCACCCTCCAGTACAACCTCCCCTCCCCCAACACACAGCCTCCCAGGTGCCTCCCAAAGGTCTTCCCACAAGGCAAAGCTGCTCCCAGCACTCCCCCACTCCCTACCCTGCTGTCATACAGGTTTCAGGGAGGCCTTCATTCCTGCTGCCCCACACTCCACAAACAGGAGCCTGCTGCCCCAGCTGATGGGAGGTTGATGATACCACCTGGAGTGAAAGGCAGCAGGGTAGGGAAAGCCTGTGCCCACCTGTCCTATGTAGCCTGTGCAAGCCTCTTTGGGGTGAACAGAAGGAAGTGGGCCTCCAAGGCCTCTGACACCCTGAGAAGTGCCCCATCAATCAAGTCCATCAAGGCCACAGTCATGCCTTGGGCTCTTCCTGGGAGGAAACTGATAAGAGCGCATTGCAAAAAAGGGGCCAGGCTGAGGTAGTCCAGGACTCGATTTATTGTGTTGGTGGTCACTGGAGGCTCCCTGCCCCTCCTGCCACTCCCCTCCTTTCCTCTTGCCCTCTTCCAACCTTACCTTTCCTCCTGTCTCCCACTCTTCTTCCTCATGTATTCAAAGCTGCAGAGAACCAAAAAAGAGAAGAAAAAAAGGCATGTTTGTGAAGACAAAAAAGCAGATGGGTTGGTACATGGGAAGAGGACTGCTTCTGTCTCACTCACAGAGCGGGGGTGCCTTTCTTGAGTTTCTGTGCCTAGTGTGCGGGTACAATCTGCTGAACCCTTGGCATATGACATGTTCCCTCCTTTCCTTCCATATGCCCCCTGCCCCCTGACAGCCCTGGAGTATCCAGTTAAGGCCAGACATCCCCCATGGACAGAAGGCTTGACTTCTGGACTTGGCTCTTTTGGACATGGGTAATACAGGAGGGTGACCTTGGGAAGGACTCCAGGGCCTATAAAACTGCTAAGAACAATCTATCATTAAGAAAATAAGACTGTCAGTGGCCTATAAGAGCCTTTCGTTTCAGAAGATTGTAATGGGGTGACAGCCATGGTTTAAGTTTGATGTCAACAGTCAACTTTCACCTGTCTCTGAATATACCCAGGACATATGGACCCTCAATAAATGCTGACTTACAGCAGCCGAGTAAGCAGATGAATTGCTATAGCTAACACCTACGTTTCTAGCTATTTCCTCTAAATCTCCTTAAAACCTCCTCCTGCACCTCCTCCTCAAGCATCATTTTACAACCATCATTCCACAGGATTCCATTCTAGGCTCTTTTCTCCTTGTTCTTCAAACACACTCCCTCAACCACCTTATCCATTCCTCTGCCTTCCATCTATAAGCTGAGGCTGTATGCCAGTGATTTACTGGCATTCTCCTCTCCTCCAGATTGCCATATCCAACTGCTGACTGACTGGACACTCCTTTTGAACAGCATTCTCCAAATTACTTAACATCTCAAAATCTGTTTCTCCTCCAGGGCCCTTGGGGTTACCAACTAAGCAGGTACCCAAGCCACACAACTAAGCCTCATCCTGGACTTTTTCTTCTGTTTCCTCATCCCAGCCATCAGAATCCTCTCAATTAAATGCCCTAAATATTTCTAAATTCTATCCACTTCTCTTTATCACCATTGACACCACTCAGATTCAGGACATGTTGACCTCTCATGTAGACACTAAAACTGCCCCCTCACAGGCTTTCTGCCCTGGTCTTGCTCCTCTTCCATCGATTCTCCACAGTGCTGTCAGAGTGATTTCTATAACATAAATCCACTACTATAAGTTCTCTGTTAAGGAAAATTCCAACCCCCTCATCCTGGCTCACAAAGCCCTTTGAGTCTGTTCCCCTCTCCTGCCTCACTTCTGCCACCTAACTTCTTGCTCTGCACAGGGCTTGCTTGCCCCATCATGGTACATTCTTTTTACCCTTCATCTCACCTTGCTAATAATGCCTGTTCACCTGAAAAGCTTCAACCTAGACATCACAGATTTCTTCAGGAAGCTGCCCCTCCGCTATGCTCTTGTCACAGGAGCCTGCACTTCCCTAGTACAGCACGAATCACACGCCACTGCACTTGCTCATTTACTTTGTATTCTCCAATGTACAGGGTGGGGCAAAAGTAGGTTTACAGTTGTGAGTCTGCAAAACAGAGTTTATTCTTGTATTATTATTTATTAATTACTGCATTATTTTCTATACAAACAACTGTAAGCCTTTCCCACCACCCTGTATATATCTATAAGTATTTGCTGACTATTCTACTAAGTAACAGGCACCACCCAAGTCCCTTATGGAGGCTGGCCCAAGTTTTTTGTTTTACTTGTTTTTAAACAGCTTTACTAAGATTTAGTCCACATACCATGCAATTCATCCATTTAAAGCATACAGTTCAATGGCTTTTAGTGTAGTCACAGAATTGAGCAATCATCACCACAGTCAATTTTAGAGCATTTTCACCAACCCCCAAAAGAAAATGCACCCCTTAGCTATCATCCCTGGGCCTTCACATTCCCCTAGCCCCATCCACACCGAGGCAACCACTAATCTACAATCTGTCTCTATACATTTGCCTATTACAGGTATTTCTTATAAATGAAATAAGGTTAGGCCTTTCCAACTTACCCAGTTCTAAGATTCAACTGAGAATTGCCTTGGAGATTCAAATTCAGAGGTCTGGGGTGGGGGTCAGGGAATCTGTATTTTTAACACATGTTCCAGGCAATTCTCTATTTAATTAGGTTGCATCTGCCTTTACTAACCCCAGCAGCCAAGACCAAACACACAGAGGTGATCAAGATTAGCTTTTGATGAATACCTCTAAAACTTGTATCTAGCTTTCGGCTCCCTATATCCAGCTCCCTAAGTGACGTCTTGGTCTTATCTCAAATACAACCTGAAAACATTTCAAGTATGTTCAATGCACAAAAAGCCGGGACACTCAAAACATTCCCCATAGTCCCCCATAAAGCACAATTCTTTAGAATGCCCTTTCACACCTGGATCCCAATGAAGGACTAGAAGGGAAGCCTGATCAGAGGACAATATAGAGAGGGCGAGCTGTCAACCTGGTAGAGGAGGTAAGCAAACTGAATCCACAGGAGCTGGAGGGGGCAGTTAGAAATGAAGCTAAAGAGGTGATCAGGGGCTTAGTCACACAGGCCTCCTGGACTAGGCGAGGAGTTTGAAATTTACCCCCAGGGCACTGGGAAGCCATCCTTGGGATTGAAGCAGTGGAATTTTGAGATCACATCTCTGCTTTGGAAAGGTCACTTAGGCAGTCGAGTGGAGGCAAGAAGCTGTGATAAGTCTAAAGCTGTGGTCAGAAGTGACAGGGACTTGGGCCAGGGAGGGGGCAGTGGGGATGGAGAGGTTAGCGTGAAGAGACGTCCTGAGGGCAGAATAGACAGGATTTGGTGACTGACAGGATGTGGAAGATGAAAGAATGAAGCCCAGGTTTCTGCCCTGGGTGGTGGATAGATGGTAGTATCTTTCATTGAAAAGAGGGAGCCCCAGAGAAGCAGGTTGGGAAGAGAGTGTTAAGGCCCATAAGGGCTGGGAGCCATCCAGGAGGGAGTATCCAGAAAGAAGCTGAAATGTAAATCTGGGGCAAGAAGAGAAGGCTGTAAGCTAGAGGCAGAAGCTGAAAGTCATCCCCGCTTTACTGCAAAGTCTTACATGACTGCTGTGATGTCCGGTGACCAATTTGGTCCTCTCCCAACTGTAGTACATACCTTTTACTTGCTCCTCTATCCTTGACTTTAACCTACTAGTACTCATGAGGTTTAGTGTGGCCTCCTCAGACTAATATAAGACAAAATATAAGGAACTTAAAGACAGAGGACATCATCTATCTCAAGTAATTACCTTGCCTCAAGCATAGACCTGGGTCTCAGTTTTTCATGGCATACTTGTAGATTAATGTCATCACCCCAAATACTTCTGCTATTTGCCTTCTGAGTGCCTGAAATTTCCATCATTAAAGCCCTTCCTTTGGGTTAAGGCCATAGTGTCCAACTTGTTTTAGGGATAGAAACCTTTTTTCTCCTTGAACAAATCACATAAAATTTGGAGAAGTAAGGGAGGGTGGCCTAGAGCCTGTCTGCTAGACCTCCCTTCCTTCCCCTTCCAAAGCAGCCCCTGAGCTAAAGAATCATCTCCAGAGGATGGCTAGAAATGTATCTGACAGAGTGAGGACCTCTGAGCAGACAGATGGAGCTAAAAGGTCTGAGTACTCATTCTGGTTTTGGCAGCAAGTTACTGGATGACGCTGAGAAAGTATTCATTTCTTGAGTTTGGGACAAAACTGTGTCTGGCTCTTCAAATAATGCTGTGAACATCAATTAAAAGAGCAGGCATGAAAAGGTGTTTTGCAAAATAAGACAATTAAAGAACGATCAATGCATGTCTGAAAAATGCACATAAGAGCACAGACAACAGATGTAACCTATTTCCCAAATGTGGGATATAGATCTAGGTAAAGTCCTTTAGACCTCAGAAAGCAGTAATTTGAGCTGAGAGGTAAAAAATACAACTTTTATAGGGGTCTGAAGAAAGCAGACATCAGCAAGGAAAAAAATTCTTGTGGTCTAGGTAGGAGATGTAGGACAGGCCTTTAAAATGTTAGGAGAAAGTGGTTGGCCTTAACAGTTGACATTGAAAGCTTTCCAAATGTCTTATAAGATTTNGACAGGCCTTTAAAATGTTAGGAGAAAGTGATTGGCCTTAACAGTTGACATTGAAAGCTTTCCAAATGTCTTATAAGATTTACCACCTATACTCTACACCAGGGGTGGGAACATCAGGCCCACAGGCCGTATATGGCGGTCCCGTGAAATCATTTGGATCATTTGGTCTGGCCCTGCCAAGGCCTCACCAAAGAGAAGCAGCTCCAACCATCACATTAGGGCTGAGTTAATTAGATGTTTGACCAAATATAGCAGGCTAATTTTTAAGTTGATAATTTTGTATGGCCCTCAAATGATGTTATAAATATCCAAATGGCCCTTGGCAGAAAAAAGGTTCCCCACCCCTGCTCTACACCCTAATCAAATGGTATGGGATGACTTACTATCTCCCAACACTCTTGTGCCCTTGATTATGACTTTATCTTATATGCCTTTGCCTTGCTTATTAACATCCAGCTGAAATGAGATATTCCTGGGCAATGAGTTGCTCCTTTATCTGAGTCCATTTTTTCCCATTATAACAATTATTGCATGAAATTTTTTTTTTTTTAAATCCTCACCTGAGGATATTTTTTCCATTGCTTTTCAGAGAGTGGAAGGGAGAGAAACACCAATGTGAGACACATCGATTGGTTGCCTTCTGCATGCACCCTGACCAGGGCCGGGGACGAGCCTGCAACTGAGGTATGTGTCTTTTGCCGGAATCGAACCCGGGACCCTTCAGTCCATGGATCTATGCTCTAACCACTGAGCCAAACCAGCTAGGGCAGCATGAAATTTTTGTTGTTGTTTTCTAACCAGTCTGACCAGTTAAACTTTGAATTCAAGGGCAGGAAACACATCTTGGGTCATCTTTGTATCCTCAGGGCCTAGAACAGGGAGTTGAACACAGTAGGTGCTCGATAAATGTCTGCTGAATTGAAT